ACGCAAAGCGTGGGCCAGAATTCACTTGGGAACGCGAAGACCAAATGAAGCAAAAGTACCCTCACCTATTCTAGCTTTCTCAAATCTAGCTTTCAAACAGAATTTCGGGACGAAATTCCCTCTAACGGGGGGATGATGTCACAACTAGAAATTTTGTGTCATATAAGCTATATACTCAAGTAAAGGTTGAATCAAAAATTTTAAAGCATGTTTGATGCCTATTATGTAACATCAAAATTTCAATCAAATACATCATACAAGTACTACACATAGTCGTCAAACAATTGGAAACCCTAGAAGTTCTTGTTAAATCCATTTTTGGACTAGAACTTCCTTATTGGACCTAAGTGGACCAATAAGCTTCCAATTTGACTATTATGGGCTTAGAACCCTTAAATGGGCTCTAATTGGACCCACATTATTTATTTCAACATTTTGGGCCATATTGGGCCTAGAATGAAATGAATTAAAAGCTTTGATCCATGATTAACTTAATCTAGCTTAATAGAGCATAAAAATCACAATTTTATCTTATAAGGCCAATGATCACCCAAACTAACTCTAATATTGGGCTTAGGGGCAAAAAGCCCAAAAACCTTTTTTTTCCTTTCCAAATTCTCGGCCCAAGGCCCAAACCCAAGGAAGGTTGAAGAGTTGACTTGCCATTGCCACCTCATTTTTATCTTTTGGACATCCATGCAACATATCACATACACCCATGCATAAATCACCTCAAAGTCACTCTTCTTCTTCTCTCCCACTCACTCTCGGCGAGCAACACCCACACACACACAAATCTCTCACAAACTCTCTCTAGATCACTCAAGGTTTCTTTCTTCTTCTCCATCCAAAATCTCGAGATTTAGGAAGCATTCAAGGGAGTTCTTCCACAAAAATCATCATCTAAGGTAAGGTTTTGCTTGGATCTATGACTTGTATTCCTTGTTTATCAAAAATCTCTTCCTAATCCATGCAAAAATCGTGATCTTGCACTCTAGAAAACTCCATAAACTCGAAAACTTCATCAAGGAGTGCAAAGGCCAAAAATCACTTCATTTCTTCCATTCTTTCTTCAAAAACCGAATCAACACCCAAGGTGAGTTTCATACCCCCTTATTTTCGGTTTTTATAAGTTTTTGTGGGGGAGAATACAAGCAAAGGTGTAGATCCATCATTATGTGTATGTTGTGGTTGATTTCTATGCTTATATGTAGGTTTTGTATGATTTTGATGCTAGATCTAGTTATGAAATGCTAAAAACCGAGATATGTATTTCATTATAGCATAAAATATACTACTACATGCAAAGTATACTAAGAAAAATAGCCAAATGGCTTGACAACACTCATTTTTTTTTTGACAAAAAATGTTGAAAATACAAAGTTGAAGGGCCTAAAATGAAATATTTCGAAATCTGATGGGTGAGATGAGTCAAAACAGTTTACATAATGTATTTTCTGAAAATATACTATTTGGAGGGTTAAAAACATAAATTCCAAGCTTATTGGGCTAAATATGACATTTTCGGCCCAATGAGGCCCAATATGCGAAATTTTCTAATTTGGAGGACCAAAACTGCATTTTTCTGTAAAACAGTGGACTATAAGTGTTCCATGTACTTTTCAAAGGTTTAAAATGCTTTTCAAATTTAAAAAGGACCAAAGTTGCAAAAATTTTCCAAATTGGGCCAAAAATGTAAAAATTGCGAAAAAGAGGGGTTATAACCGAGAAAACTGCAATTTCAAGGACTTAAGCTGTTTTCTATGAAAAATATGCTGGAAAATACTTATTTCAATAATTTTTGGTGTTAAAATGTCAAGAAAATTGATTTAAGGACCAAACCGGAAAGTTTTTAAATAAAGGGGTGAAAAGGGTAAATTTTACAAATAAGGAGGGACTGAAAACAGAAAATTCTCAAGGCTAGTTCAATACATGCAATTTGACCAAATGATGGTACCACGCCTATCGACGAAATACAATACATTACAATACCAAAAGTCGTTGTCAAACGAATTGGTTCGGTCTCGAACCAATAAAAATCCGAAACTACTAACACGACGACACTACGACATTACGACATTACGATTCATAACTAATAACGATTGGGAAGTCACTATACATGCGAGTGTGCACAGACGTCTACGCACCATCTTTGGGCCCCAAAAGTGTAAAATCTTGTTTGTTGAGCCTAGCTAGCCCAATGACCTGATCTTAAGGCCCGAAGACCTCTCTCTTACGAAGTGTTGGGTTTTACCGATCCGACATAACGTAAAAGGACTTTCAATGGCAAACATGCTGCTGGTCCCCAAGGGTCCTTCAGTGCTGCTAGTAAAGTCTGTAACTCACGATTGCGGGTTGGGCTTCGGGCCCTTCGCAATTGCAATGGTCTTGAACGACGCGGGGAAATACCGAGGGTTTCGCACCTTCTCTTCTTCCCTCCGGTCGTGGGACTACACAAGTCGGGAGGATTGAGTTGTGTGAAGAATTACGAGTGACGCCTAAAGGATCGCTTGTAAGGTTGTTGATTGGACGTTTTCATTAACGCACGTCACAACACTTCACCACCCACTGTATTCTCAATGCCTCTGGAGCTCAACGGTTTCCTCTAACGCAACGAAACAACGGTACACAAACTAAGTAAAGCAAAGTGATAGGAAAACGTCGGGTTTTCCTAGGGTTTTCAACATTCACAATTATGAATTACCGGTCGAATTTCACAACTCTTACGCTTACATCTATAGAATTCAAACAAGCATACTTATGGATCATCACATATTTTTACACTATTCTATTTTTAGAAAATATCGGATTTTCTGATGGTTTTCAAACAATACATTGGATTTCAAACACTACTTATGAACTCACCAACATTTCATATGTTGACGTTTTCAAAATACTTGTATTCTCAGGTAACAGATAAGGTGAAGGATGATTTGTACTCTATGACGTTTTGCTGTGGTTTAAGTAGTATCAAACAGTTATTTTTTTTTGAGAATGTAATGTTTTGAACAATGTAATGAATGTAACATTACCAGTTGTATCATTCCAAATGTTGGTGATGTATAATGTTATGTTTCATGTATATGCATTGTGATGGTATTCAATGAGTCACGATAGCCCTCAGACGTTTCCGCCGTCTGGTTCGGGGGTGTGACAAATCTCGATATGCCCCGCTTGTTTGTGACTGGGATACCGAGGATCACAAAGCGGGTGTGAATTACCATGTAAATTCACATGGTGCCTTCATTGTAACTATCACCTATTCGATGTGCCGGTAAACCACACACGCTCCATCGAACTATGATAAACAATGCATCACCCTTTGCCACCTTCGCTTAGAACCAATTAGTGTGCCGGTAAACCACACAAGCTCCATTAACTTCTTAGCAAGGTGCAAAGTGTAATTTCATGGGATTGCATCAATTCACTTTTCCTAAAGTAACTAAGATTGGGAAATTTTAAGAAAACATGTAGTTACTTTGTATTTCTTATTATACTTTTAATGAGAGGATGAGGTTGCCCTATCCTACCCGTTCGGCTAACGACCCTCTACCGATCAAGCAAGCGGTGGGTGTGAGTGTACACCCATTAAGCGCCATTTTATAGGCCGCAACCTTATACCCACCTTATAGACCGGCTTCGTAAATGAGGCCTACTAACGGTAAGACTAGCATTTAAGTTATACATATATAGATATTAATCTTGTAATATTATATTAGTATAGGGTTGGATTTTAAACTTGTAAAATTCTGGGGTTTGAAATTTAAATTGTCTAAATTAAACTTTTAATCACAAAACATAAATTTCAAAACTTGATGGCAAGTTTTAAACATTTAAAACATAAAGGATCAAATAACAAATAATTCAAATTAACAATTAATCACATAATTATCCATATTTGATTTATTTATGATTTCTTGAAAAACAATTTACCAATTTAATCAAAATAATTAATAATTATCATATAAGGAAATTAAATATTTTATTAATTGATAAATATCTTCAATCAGATCAAAAATATAGTCATATATATCATAAAATCGGATTTGGGTTGATCTAATATGATAAAGGTAAGTTTCCATAAGATAAATATGAAAAAATCCTGATTTTGGCTCTTCCTAACGCTCGGACTCGCCGAGTACCCAAACTGGACTCGCTGAGTCAGGCCAACTCGCTGAGTCCACTATGGGACTCGCCGAGTCCATGACTCAGAAACACAAAAATCGAATTTTGCAGTTAACATTCAAACAATTAAGCATCAATTTAATAGAAACCAATCTAGGCTCTGATACCACTGATGGGTTTTGTACATAAGAACATTCCTATGTGCGCATACAAACCCTAATGCTTGGATCTAGGCTTCTCTAATTAAACATGCATTGAATCCAAGACTCCTAATGGCTAACTAGGTATAAGAACAATACAAAACCAGAGTTGGAAGCATACGTTGAAACACTCGTTTGATCTTCTTGTTCTTGGAGCTTTAGAGTCAGAATTGTCACTCCTCTAATGGCTTACAAACACCAACTAGCAAAGAGAATGATTTGAGAGAGGAGAGAGGAGGAAATTGGCCAGGGTATCCTTGCTGTAGAGGAGGTGCCGATTTCCCTATCCCAAGGGGTCTATTTATACTTGTAAGGCTCCTAGTGTTTCACACTTAGACCCTAATGGGATAACTTAGACTCTAAGCAATCCTAATCCTTTCCTTAGATAAGCCATGGACGATTTTAGGCTTATCCTAGCCCTAGAAATCGTCCACCCTCCTTCCAATAAGGATTTACAGCCTAAAGTATAATTATCAAACAATTGATAGTTTATACCCTCTTATTTAATTAATCTCTTTAAGTGACCAAATTTATATTAATTAATTTATGACTTATATTAATCAAATAACAATATCATTATTCATTATATTATTCTCATAATATATTAATAATATCTATTCTCTCATATTAATTCATCCCACCAAGTTGCTATGGTGAAGGCAACCCAAAAGGACCATGCACAATTGGGTCAAATACTTGCCTGATATAGTTGCAGCCTTAGACACTATTCCAACAAATAGTTCCATGAAGATTATACTTTGGCCTGCAACTAAGAAACAAAAGGAAAATCCTATTCCTCAACATTTTCATGAGGGATATCTGGATGACATGGAATTTTGGGCATTTGATGACGAAACAGCTACTGCAGCCATCAAATTCAAGAATCGAGAACATGTTCTGAGATTGATTAGTGCTAAAGAACTTCTCCATTTCAGAGAAAGGGATATACGAACTTTGGCCGATCATCAAATCATTTGCAGGAAAAGATGTCATGAAAGCTGCTGCTAAAGAATTCACTACTATGGTGGCTACGATCATAAATGGAAGATTGTAGATGGGATCGATGGGGAGAACAGATCTGAGGTTGTTTGATAAGCCTAATGAGGAGCCAAAGGAGTGAAGACTCGACTATGCTATTTTGTGGTTTGAGCTAGGCATCATTTTGTATAAGTGACAATGTCATTTTTGCAGTGATTGTGTGTTAACTTGTCATATGTGCTGCCACACTTGTGTGTGTGTGGCCGCACATAGTGTGTGCGGCCGCACACATATTTACGGCTGCACACTCTTATGCTGGTAGGAGGAGTACTATTTAAAGCAACCGAGTTGTGTCAGTTTGTACTTGTTGGTTGGTGTCAGAACTTTGCTGTAATAGTACTTTTCTCAAGATGTACTTGACATTTACAGGCAATAGATGTGTGCATGCTTGATTTTATTTCTTCTTCTTCTACATCTTTCCTTTATTGCAATCAACTTCATTGATTACTAAATCGGATCATTAGATTTGGGACTTATAGGATGACGACCACAGACTTTTCTAGACAGTTTAGTGGAACGCTGGCAGGCTCATAACCTGTAGGTTTAGGGAACTTGGGTGTTCATTTGCTATATTCGATCTCCCTCATGGTTGCCGTAGGACATTCATTGCTGAGGAATCCCCTTTTTAGTAGTGTTCGTCCTGATGAAAATTCCTAGACTAGGTACCTTGTGATAGTTGTTGTTTTAGTGACGTAAAGTGAGGATAACGGGAATGGTAAATCGGTTTATTGTTGGTTGGTGAAATTAAATATAATTATTTATTGTGGGTTGAAATCCCTATATGCTCACTAGACTCCCAAGCCTGACCACTCAGTTTCTTTGTATTACAGGTAGTGGCGCGAGAGCATAAGTTGGAGAACTTGTGAAGATGTTTTTGTTTATAGAACAGTAGTTGTATGTAACTGTGTAAGGTCTATATTTTATTGTTTATGCTTTTGTGTCTGTATGGGAACATGACATCCCGAGTTTTGATAATTAATGAAAATACGTTTCTTTAAGAATGATAAACCTTATTTTATCATGTATTGTTTCGGGGACAAATTCCGCAACTCTTTTAAATCAATGGATTTACTCTGAAATTATTTTAAAAGCATAAATTAAACCTGTCTTTTTTGGCTGTGATTTTAGGGATGTCACAGTTGGTATCAGAGCATTAGTTTAGGTGAACTAGGAATTTGTAGAATTTCTAGAGTTAAACTTATAGTGCTAAGTGAAGTTTGTGAGATGTGTATCTGTATATTTTAGACACGAGCACTAGTTAATTTAGGAAAAAATTACCTAAATGCTTTTTTGTGCTGAGTGTTATATGGTTGCCATATATGATGTTATTTGTTCGGATCTACGATTTGTTGCCAACCGGATCTGGAGACTTATGTGTTTAGGATTTTAAGCGTATGTCTACGGTATTAGAACTAGCATGTAATCGTTTGGAGTAATAAGCATGATTTTAATATCTATCATGAATGAGCATCTAATTTCACCTTATTCGGTGTATAGATAAAAAATGGTGAGAACGAGGAGTGGAGTTGGAAATGCTGATGAAAACATGAATCAAATACATGTGATAGAACAAGTAGTTGTTGCAGCAGCAACACCTGAGCCAATGATTATGGCTGGTGTGCAAGTGATGATTCAAACTATGTTAGATCACCATATGGAAGAAACGAGGTGTCTGCTTCGACAAAATCGTGAAGAACTGTCAATTCATGTGGAAGAGCCCGAAGTTAATGGAGGTCAGTCTGAAGGAGAGAACTTTAGTGGGATAATTGGTCAAGACAACCCACCGATAGTTCGACATGACAACCAAGATGGAGGGAATAATGGACTGGGATGCAAGTACAAGGACTTTTTGACTTTCAAACCATTGAACTTCACTGGAAAGGAGGACCCGATCGGAGTGATGGATTGGATCTTCAAAATGGAGTTAGCCTGCATGAATTGTGGCTGTAGAGGCAAGTTGCAGACCACGTTCGTAGTGCATCAGTTCAGGAGTGGAGCCGTTCGCTAGTGGAACACTTTAGGGAAGACCCTAAGCCCTAATGAACCACTGCAATTGACATGGACATAGTTCTTGGTGCAGTTCAAGCGCAAGTTTTGCTCAGCCCAAAATCTATTAGAGTTGGAGAACAAGTTTCTGACATTGAAAAAGGTCATCATGTAAGTTGATGAATACACAAACGCCTTCACAGACAAGATGGAGTTTGCTTTGCGCATCGTCCCAGATGAGTTGACAAAAGTGGAACGGTACGCAAAGGGACTCCCATGGGAGTACGAGGTGCCAGTACGTCAGGCACATACTCTAGATGCAACTATCTGGGCTGCCCAGTCTGTTGAGAACATGATCAAGGGGAGAACCACCAACAAAGTTGAAGTTTGTGAAAAGAGAAAGTTTGAGTGAACATCAATTTCCAACAAGAAAAGAAAATTTTCGAAGTCTGATTCGAAAAGGTTTGGAGGAGGAAAAGGAGTCGAAACAAAATGGTGTGAAAAGTGCAAGAAGAAGCACTCGGGGAAATGTAGTGAGGATGTGACCTGCTACAAGTGTGGGAAGACGGGGCATTACATCAATGAATGTCCGTCTAACAAAAGGGTGTGTTTTGGGTGTAACGAAGAGGGGCACGTTTTGAAGGACTGTCCGAGGAAGAAGGAGGCAGCAAAACCCAATAATCCCCGAAAGCCGAAGGCGAGAGCATTCCAGATGATACTGGAAGCTGCGAAAGATGAAGCTGATGTCGCTTCATGTACCTTTCTCGTAAACGAATTGCCTGCCCAAATTTTGTTTGATTCTGGAGCCAATTACTCATTTATATCGCATGAATTTCGTAGAAAACTAGCTTTGCCTGTTGATAGACTAGATAATGCCTTATAAGTCGAAATTGCTAGTGGCACGTTTATACAAGTTAGCCATCGCATGAGAAACATCTTCATTGATTTAAATGGGAATAAGTTCCACGAGGAATTATTGCCCATCGAACTTAACGGTTTCGACATCGTGCTTGGAATGGATTGGCTTAACGCCAAGACACCGAGATATTGTGCATGAAGAAGATAGTCAAAGTAAACCTGCCTGGGAAGGAGTCATTTATGGTGTATGGAGATAAACGCAGGGTAAATTCTGGAATCATTTCATTGATGAAAGCCAGAAAGTTTTTGGCCAAAGGATGTAGATCGTATCTAGCATTCGTAATTGATGCTAAGAAAGAGAAGAAGGAGGTGCAGAGCATTGCGGTGGTGTGTGATTATCCGAAAGTGTTTCCCGAAAATATTCCTGGGTTACCACCTGATCGGCAAGTAGAATTCCGTATTGACTTGTTACCCGGAATGACACCGATAGCCAAAGCACCATACAGACTAGCACCGACGGAGATGAAGGAGTTGATGACGCAAGTTCAGGAGTTGTTGGACAAAGGTTTCATTAAGCCTAGTTCATCACCCTGGGAGATCCGGTGTTATTCGTGAAAAAGAAAGATGGAAGTATGAGAATGTGCATCGATTATAGAGAGTTGAACAAGGCAACAATAAAGAATAGATATCCGTTGCCAAGGATTGCTGACCTGTTCGATCAGCTGCAAGGCTCAAGTTATTTTTCAAAGATCGATCTGAGGCCAGCATATCATCAGCTGAAGGTGAAAGAGCATGACATAGAGAAGACTGCATTCAGAACGCGATACAGACATTACGAGTTTTTGGTTATCTCGTTTAGACTAACCAATGCTCCAGCAGCCTTCATGGATTTAATGAACAGAGTTTGTAATCTGTTCCTTGATAAATCGATGAAAGTGTTCATAGATGACATTCTGATTTATTCGAAGAGCCAAGAAGAGCATAGTACACACTTACGAGAAGTGTTGGAAGTCTTGAAGAAGGAGAAGTTGTATGCTAAGTTCTCCAAATGTGATTTTTGGATTAGAGAAGTCCAATTCTTGGGTCATGTGGTCAACCAAGAAGGTATAATGGTTGATCCAGCAAAGATTGAGGCTGTGACGAAGTGTAAGAAACCGAAGACTCCCACGGAGATCCGAAGCTTTTTGGGATTAGCCGGGTATTACAGAAGGTTTATCCAAGGATTTTCTTAGATCACTAATCCATTAACAGCTTTGGCCCACAAAGGAGCCACTTATGCGTGGAGTGATATGCACAAAGAAACGTTCGAGTTGCTAAAGAAGAAGTATGTGAGGCACCGATTTTATCTCTACCTGACGGAGTTGAAGACTTCGCTGTTTATAGCGATGCATCTGGGGTTTGTTTGGGTTGTGTTTTGACCCAAAGAGATAAGGTGATCGCATATGCGTCTCGACAGTTGAAAGAGCATGAAAAGAACTACCCAACTCATGACTTGGAGTTTGTAGCGGTAGTTTTTGCTCTGAAGATATGGAGGCATTACCTCTATGGCTTGAAGTGCAAACTGGTCATTGATCATAAGAGTCTTCGATATCTATTTAGTCAGAAAGAATTAAACATGAGGCAGCGACTCTAGCTAGAACTACTTAAGGACTATGACTGTGAGATACTTTACCACCCTGGTAAAGCAAATGTTGTCGCTGATGCTCTCAGTTGGAAAGTTAATCTTGAGAGAAAAAGGCTAAGAGCGTTGAGGATAGAAGTTGTCTCGACAATTGTGGAGAGTATAAAGAAATCTCAAGAAGAAGCTTCTGAAAAGAATGACCGGAAGGAGGAACGTTTGGTCAAAACGTTGGTGTTTGGTACAAACGGTTATGGACTGAAGGTATTCCAAGATCGTATTTAGGTACCTAAGTCAGGAGGAATAAGAGATTTTCTGATGGAAGAAGCTCACAAAACCATGTACTCAATTCATCCTGCCAGCACTAAAATGTATAGGGACCTGAAACCCTATTACTGGTGGCTGACGATGAAGCTTGATATTGCAAAGTACGTGGCGGAGTGTGTGACATGTGCGCGGGTCAAGGCACAACATTAGAAACCATACATGAGTTTAGAACCTTTACCTGTGCCTATGGGTAAATGGGAAGACATTGCTATGGATTTTGTCACTAAGTTGTCCAGAACAAAGAATGTTCATGACATGATTTGGATGATCGTTGATCGCTTCACTAAGAGTGCGCATTTCATAGCAGCCAATGAGAAATGGTCTATGGATAAGCTTGCAAATTCTTACGTGAAGGAAATTGTGAGCCTTCACGGTGTTCCATTAACGATCGGTGTAATTTTTAGAAATGAATGTATGATTCTTTGATTTTAGCTTGATATAGTCCTCTGATTAGGTTTATACATTTGCATTTCGGGCCACTAAGAGTTTAATTGAGATTTTGAAGTGTTTTGAATTTTGGTAAAAAATGTTGAACTCAAGTTGATTTGAGTTAATTTCTATAAAATTATTTATGAATATGAAAGAACCTAAGATCAAACGATTTATCAAACAAAGACTATTAATAAGAACAATGAAGTTTCACAAAGAACTTTCACTAAGAATGATAATCTCACAAAGAGATTATTGTTCGCACAAAGCGGCTATTAGGGTTTGTGAAAGACAACCTTTTCACAAAACCGTACAAAAGACTATATAGAACTATTATAGAGAATCCCTACAAATCAGGGATGTTCCAGCTAACTAATATATGATAACTATGGAAACAAGATAAATACTAAAGCTGTTACATTAAAAAGATATATACTGAACAACTTGTACGCTGACGCTGATGCTGATGCTGACGCTGGATTACCTGCTGATGCTGAGTGATCAGTTTCAAACATCATCATATTATAAGGTTCGACCTTACAATCTCCCCCAATATGATGATGTTCAAAACAACAGCTATACTAGAACACATCTGGACAAAAATTCTTCATACTCAGCTTCAACTTCTATTTTCACAGGCCAGTAAGGACTATCCAGCAACTCCTGTCTTCTATTCAGTAACTCCATAGCAATTAGTATGTGAAACTCTCTAGATAGATCTTGATGACTCATGCACATTTGTCTTAAACCAACAAGATGTGCTATTGGAGCTCTGGGAATTTCTATGGTGCGTTGAAAACACATTTTCCTGTTTTTATCAAGATAAAACATTCCATGTTCAGGAACAGAGATGAACTTATGTTGAACCGACTCAACACCGATAGGAAGAGATTTGTTTATTCCTTCAGCACCAAAATTTAGAACCAATACATCTTCACTATCAACTTGAAATTTGGTTCTTCTGATTCTTGGAACTGAGGAACTTTGGCCTTGCTGCTGAGGATGCTGTATAGGAGCAAGATCTAGACACTAAACTTTCTTGATCAGTAAATGAAGAGCACAAGTCAGTTCTGAAGAGAGAGCCGAAGTTTGCTTGGATGCTAATTCTAGCAATTCCATCCATTCAGAGTATCCGTATCTGATTAGCTCATCCCTTTTGACAACCTTAGTGTATGGATGTTGAAGACCTTGATGAGTGATCAGCAAACTAAGAATTTTCTCGTTACGAGGTTTAGAAGCTTTAACTTTGATGATCTTATCACTGCTCACTCTTCGTTTAAGAACATCTTGAAACCTCTTGCGATCAATCCTGTCGAGAACATTTTTAGTCCTTGACTTGCTGCTACTGGGAGGAGGCTGTGAAGATTTGGATTTGGACTGATATTATAAAAACTTTTTCATCTGAGCTTCAAAGGATCCTTTAGCCTGAAGTTTATGCTGAATGAGAGATTCATCAGCTTGAGCAATATTCTTTAGAAGCTGAGCTTTATTGGCTTCATCAATAATTTTCTTAACTTGATCAGGAGACATGTTCCATTCAGCTGCCAAGTTGGATATGCTGATGACGGACTTAGGTTTCTTGCTAGGAAGAGAAGTATCAGTGTGTGAAACAGCCAATTCAGTATATGCTGCCTTGCGCTTGCGAGATAGAGGTTGAATATCCTCTCTAGCTACATCTGAGTCTTCTCCTTGAACTGGCACAATGGGATCAATGAAGTTCATATCTAGCATTTGACATTCATCATCATGTTCATCTTCATTATCATCTGAGGCTTCTCCTTGAAATGGAATAGTGGGATCAATGAAGTTCATGTCCAGCATCTGACACTCATCATCATGTTCATCCTCATCATCATGCTCACTATCTTCAGCAAGCTTTTTAGTATCTGCTGGTCTATCAGACTCGTCAGCAGGCTTTTCAGTTTATGCTATTTTATCAGACTCGTGCACAGGCTGTGGTGGCTCGGTCTGGTTTAGAATGTTATCTTCAGATCCAAGCTCAACTGAGTCAGTTTCTCCCCCTTTTTGATCATCATCATGTTGGGGTCCAGGGGAAGGAGTTGGAAAAAGAACTCCCTTCAGTTGGTGGACATCAACCTCAATTCGTAGAAGATGCTGACTCATGTCCCGAGTCAGTGTAAGAAGCTCATTAAAAGCTGAGGCCGGAATATGAATTAACTGAGTACCTGGAACTTCTTGTGAGCGATGTTGCTCCCCCTGAGAAGGTTGCTCCCCCTGGGATGGCTGCTCCCCTTGAGCTGAGAGAACCCTTTCAGTGTCAGAAAGAGTATGATGAGAAAGTTGAGGGGAGAGATGACCACCATCCTGCGTTTCAGCTTGTTGATCAGCATGATTTTCGTTGTTACCATCAGCTCCTTCATCAGTATCAGCGGTTAGTGAAGGAACAGTATATGGATTTGCGATCCATTCTCTCATTCGATCAGAGATGCTGATGTCATTTTTCATTGGATCATCCTGATACATTCGTACTGACATGCGTGGGCATTGGATGGGGTTTCCAGAGTGGGAGTAGTAGGCTTCAGCGAAAAATTTATCTAGGACAAGAGCAATCCAACGTGGAAAGGGGACATGATCAGCGCGTACATTGGCCCGAAGAAGTTGGACAAGCTGATCAAAGAAGAAAGCCCCATAATCAAGACGTTTGTTGAGAAGAAGAGAATAGACAACTTGTTGCTCATAAGTACTCAGTTGATCACCACTGCGAGATTTGTGGCCCACACATTTGCACAGAACCCCGGTGAAGAACTTCCATCCTGGAGTCATACATTGATGCAGAATGAGAGCTGATCGAGCACCAGCCTTTGAGTGATCATAGCCCAGTTGATCAAAGAGGCGTCGACAACGTTCAGTAGGTGGAATCTCAGAGAATGGTTCAAATATTGGTAACCTGAGCGCAACACTGAGGAAATCAGCGGTGATAAAAACGGAGTGTCGGCCACGCCCAATAGTCCGGGAGATGACGTTGTTTTCATCATTAACCGTTGCAGTGTAGTAGAACTCACATACTTGTTTGGGAAAGAACTCTGATGGAACCTCACTAATTGCGTATCGAAGTCGGAAAAAGACTAAGAAATTGACAAAATCATCAAGTCCAAGACCGCGATGAACATCTAGTATATCAGGGTTGAAAACAACATTTGTGGCTTTGATGTATATGGAAAGAGGAGGAGAGTTTGGAGCTGGGATGACTCTTCTTGAAGTGGAGGAGAAGGTGAACAGTGATGCCGCCATTGAAGAGTGTTAGGATTCTAGGGTTTTTTTTTTATTTAAGAGAGAGAGAGGGAAGTTTGAATGATGGGAGGAAGGTTTGGGAGAGAGGTGAAAAGGTTTAAATATGGGAGGAAACGGGTAAAAAAAGGTAATGATTATCTTTATCGAAAATAACTGCATATCTTGACAAACTGTCAAATCAAAAAATAGCCGTTGGGTAAATAGAGCCGTTGTACTGAAGAGGAAACGAGAATCAATGACTGTGGAAGCGCTGAGATTATTATCACGGAAAGTTACATGCTGAAAGATAGTTTGTCGTCAATTCAAGGTACAACTTGCTTGTTTAGGGTTAGCAAGGTGATTGGTGCGTGTGATAGAGATTGGTTTAATTATCTAACCATCGGCACAGAGTGTCGAGTGTTTATCAGTGAGTGGTATTTCTTACTGAATCATTAGACACTGAGTGAGAAGAAGGTGAAGAGAGGATTGTTGCGTGTGATAGACCTTGGTGTTTTGGTCTAACCATCGGCAAACACTGTTAGATTCTCATCAGCATGTGTTTTGTCATGCTGAATCACAGAATCAATGTAAGATTGGTAAGAGGGGATAGTTGCGCGTGATAGAGCTTGGTGTTTTGTCTAACCATCGGCAAAGACTTTTAGATTCTCATCGGTATGTGTTTTGTCACACCGAATCACAGAATCAGTGTAAGATTGGTAAGAGGGGATAGTTGCGTGTGATAGAACTTGGTGTTTTGTCTAACCATCGACAAAGAGTTTCAAGTTATTATCAGTGTATGGTTTAATAAAGTGAATCATTCAACTTTAGTTTAGAAGATTTGTAGAAGAGATAGAGATAAGAAATCATACAATGTACTCAGCATGCTAAACATCATCAGCACATCATCATCATAAAAAAAACATTAGTTTATAAGACAATAGCAAACATTAGTAAAACATTTTCAATCCAGAGTGATCATTCCAAGTTCGCCAATAATGTGAGCATTAGTTTGAGTATCCAGGGCTTTGGTGAAAATATCAGCTAGTTGATCGGAAGTCTTGACATGTTTTAGAACAACCTTGCCCTTCTCAACATTGTCTCTGATGAAGTGATGTCTGATCTCGATATGCTTTGTCTATGAGTGCTGAATAGGATTCTGTGTGATCTGAATGGCACTGGTGTCATCACAGTATATCGGAGTCTTTGTGAATTTAAGCCCATAGTCTAAAAGTTGATTTTGAATCCATAATATTTGAGCACAACATCTCCCAGCTGCAACATACTCAGCTTCTGCAGTGGAGATAGCTACTGAGGTTTGTTTCTTGCTGGACCAACTGATTAGTCGATTTCCAAGGAAATGACATCCACCTGACGTGCTCTTCTTGTCTAAGTTGCAACCTACATAGTCGGAATCATTGTATCCAAAGAGTTCAAGCACTGAGTCACGAGGGTACCACAGTACCAAGTTCTGAGTGGCCTTTAAGTATCGAAAGATGCGTTTGAGTGAAATGAGATGAGACTCCTTGGGATTAGCTTGGAATCTAGCACAGAGAATGGTTCCAAACATGATATCAGGGTGACTTGCAGTGAGTTAGAGAAGAGATCCAATCATTCCTCGATAAAGAGAGTGATTAACATCAGTGCCGGTGGGATCAGTGTGTAGCTTATCAGTCTTGGACACTGGAGTAGAAGCTGCTTTGCAGTCGCTGAGAGAATACTTAACTAGCATGTCAGTAATGTATTTACTTTGACAAATTGAGATACCTGATTTTTGTTGCTGAACCTCAAGATCTAAGATGAAAGTCATCTTCCTCATCATACTCATTTCGAATCTTTGAGACATGATCTCAGCGAATTCTTTGCTCAGCTTCTCATTTGGAGATCCAAAGATGATATCATCGACATAGATATGAACAAGAATCATTTCTGAGCCTTTCCTTTTGATGAAGAGAGTATTGTCAATTGCTCCTCTTTTGTAGCCATTTTCAAGAAGATATGATGTCAGTGTCTCATACCAGGCCCTAGGAGCTTGCTTCAGTCCATATACATCCTTATCTAGTCTGTACACGTAGTCAGGGTGTTCTCTGTCTTCAAAGCCTGGGGGTTGTTTGAGAAATACTTCTTCTTGTAACTCACCATGAAGAAATGCCGTTTTGACATCCATTTGGAAGACAATGAAGTTCATGTATGAAGCATATGCGAGAAACAGTCTGATTGCTTCAATGCGGGCAATTGGAGCAAAAGTCTCCCCGTAGTCGATGGATTCAATTTGAGTGAACCCCTGAGCAACAAGTCTTGCTTTTTTGCAAGTAATAATACCATCTTTATCAACCTTGTTGCAGTAGACCCAGCATGTTCCGGTGATGGTCTTTCCTGATGGCCTGGGAACAAGAGTCCAAACCTTGTGCCTTTCGAACTCGTTCAGCTCGTCTTGCATGGCTTTAATCCAATCAGCGTCTTGAAGAGCTGAGTGTATCTTGTCAGGTAAAATCATTGAAACGAAATTAACGTACATGCAAAAATTATTAGATACACGAGATCTGGTTCGGACACCATCATGAAGATTCCCAATAATTTGATCAACAGGGTGATCTCGATGTCCAGAAGCTAATTCCACTGGATTTGACACTGAAGTGTTATTGCTGAAGGGAACATCAGTTGCAGGAGAATCTTCAGTCTCAAGGGTTTCATCAGCATCGGACAAATGAGTTGTCGAGCTGACCGCAGTATCTTGATTTAAGGAATTTGGATTTGGAACGATAGGATCAGGAATAATAGCTTCTTCTTCAGTATGAGAAACTTCATCATATGGGCAAGAGAGAAGCTCTTGAAAAATAGAGGAAGAATGAGCTACTTTTTCATCAGTGTATGATTCCTCATCAAACTTCACATGAATGGATTCTTCAATGCACTGCCTGTTCACATGAAAAACACGAAAAGCCTTTGAAATAGATGAGTATCTAACAAAAATACCTTTTCAGCCTTAGGCTCAAATTTTGATCTGGGATCGCGCTGATTAAGAATATAACAAATGCATCCAAACACGTGAAAAAAGGATACGTCCGACTTTCGACCTTTCAGCATCTCATATGGTGTTTTCTTGTGAACCCTGTGAATTAGAGATCGATTCTGAGTATAACATGTTGTATTAACAGCTTCAGCCCAAAATGACATAGGAAGACCAGCATGAATCATTAAGGTCCTTCCTGCCTCAATCAGTGTTCGATTTCTTCGTTCAGCAACTCCATTTTGTTGAGGTGTGCGGGGAGCTGAAAAGTTCCGCCCAATGCCTTTATAATCACAAAATTCTTCAAGAGTTGAATTCCGGAACTCAGTGCCATGATCACTCCTTAGCTGCTTAACTTTGAGACCAGTCAGTGTCTCATTTTGACGAATCAACGAGATAATTTCCTATGCAGCATGACTTTTCTTCTTAAAGAAAACCACCCATGTAAATCGAGTAAACTCACCCACAACCACTAGAGTATACTTGTTTCCTCCTTGGGAACGAACAGGAATAGGTCCAAACAAGTCCATGTGTAGTAAATGAAGAGGGACAGATATGCTAGAACATGACTTGGGTTTGAATGACGACTTGGTTTGTTTTCCTTGTTCACACGCTGAGCACATCTTGTCTTTGACAAAGCTGAGTTTTGGGAGACCTCTAACTAGATCTTGATTGGATATTTTAGATAGATTCTTAAAGTTCAAATGAGAGAACCTTTTGTGCCAAATCCAGTTGAGATTGGTTTGAGACTTTGTAAAGAAACATTGCATCAGCGCCTTGTCACTTGAGAACATGTCAAGAACATATATATATATATATATATATATATATATATATATCATCTTTTCTACTTGCTAAGAGTACAATGTTCTTGTCAGTGTTAACAACTCTTCCTTCCTTCTTTGTAAAATGAACTTCATAATCAGCATCACACAATTGGCTGATTGAGATGAGATTGTGTTTGAGACCCTTTACATATGAAATATTCTGAAACACCACATTATTGCACTTGATGTTTCCATATCCTTTAGTAAACCCCTTTCCATTGTCTCCGTATGTTACTGCACGACCAATTTTCTTGACATAGTCTTCCAGGAGAGACTTGGATCCTGTCATATGTCTTGAGCAACCACTATCTAAGTACCAAAGATGCTCCTGACCCTGCAGTGCTGAGAAACTAGTTAGAACACACTGACCCATTGTAAGATGGGTCATTCACAAAGTTATTTGACAATATATTATAGCACTCTTTAGGAAGACAGTTTCAAGAATTTGATTTAAGAGTCCATCTTTCATTTCTAACTTTGATGTTATCAGATCTTAATGATGTTTTATCAAACTTGCATTCACTGATTTTGTGAGTCGTGTCACCACATCTGTAGCAAATTCTAGTACCAAAGTTTTTCTTGGTAAGCACACTTCTAGATTTAACACATTTATATTTAAAAGATTCACCAAGTGAACTTTGAGTCCTTTTATTTGACATTGAATTACTAAAGAATTCAGTGTCAGAAGAACTACAATCAGTGATGCATGAGGAGCTGACATCAGTATCAGATTTAGACTTATGTACTGAAACACTGCAATCAGGTTATTGTTTAAGTTGTTCATGAACAGCATGAAACACTCCGTTTGAGATAGGAAATGCGATAATATTTTTAGTGAGAGGAGTTGGTCTCACAAGATGTGCAGGGTAAGAAGTAGGATCAATTCCGGTAATTTCAATATTACACTCAGTAACACCATTAGAATCAGTAACACAGTGTTCATCAATGAGACTCTGATTAATAAAGGTGTTGCTGATAAATTTGTTTTTGAAACTATCTTTTAATTCATTCATGGAATAAAATTCAGATTCCTTTTCTTGAGATTTAAAAACCTTGTCAGCTTCAGCAAAATTTCCCCCAAGGATTTTCTCACATGAATGAGGTATTTGAGCAGAAATAACATAATTAGCATTTTTGTGAGATTTAGCCCAAAGTTTTAAAACAGTTTGTTCTTTTTTCAAGAGGTC